AGTTTTATTTCTGTTATTCTTGTAACAGTTGTCTCATGGTCTATTTATATGACCTCTTGCATTAATGAAGAATTACTGAGGCATTATTTACACTTTAGTCTCAATAATAAATGCAGCAATTCTTCTTCCTGTTGCTCTGGTTCCTCCAATGCTCTGATCTTGAGTTTGTGTATGTGTGATGGGGTGAGTTCGAACGTGGCTCGGACCCAGTTGGATGGAGGAAAATGGGACGAGTCGAAGCTTAGTGATGTTGTTGTCTTGGGGACGAATGGGTTTTGGAGGACATTGGCGGCTCTTTCGAAGGAAGGGGTGAGTTCCGGTGGCAGAGTAGCCTCCAATTCCAAATGGGTTGCTCCAATTGTGGTCAGTTTGGAGATGTGCGCCCATGATTTCAAGAAAAGGTTGAAGCTTTGGCCGTCAAAAAGTACGTGGTGGGTAGCGAATCCAATGGAGAATCCATGGTTTGGAAAATGAGTAACCTGTATGGACATTAATGGAACCGCGGCACAAGAATCGCCATCGGATGGTTGGATCGTGGGTACGAAGGGCTGACAGTCTTTGATCTGGCGTGGATGGTTGCCAGAGGCATGGTGGAATTCGGCACCGGAGTCTGCCTCGACGCGGTGAAAGAAACGGCGTCGTTTGGGGAATAGAGGATGAAGGGGAGAGGAGAATTCTCCGGCCAAAGGAGGTTGCCGGCGAGAGGAAAGAAATGGTTGAGAGTGAGAGAGAGGGAGTGTTTGAGATTTGGGATCAGGGTGGAGTGGAAGAACAATGAAGAATCGGAATCGGAATCGAATAATAGAACACACGAGACAGTGGAGGGGAATTAAGGAACATCCAGTCAAAGGCAGCGAGAGAAATGGAAAATTTTGATGAGTATGAAGATGGAGAGATCTTACATGCTTCAATAATCTTCACCATCTTGGTCACCTTCAAAAGAGAGATTTCTGTTTCTGTTTTGTTTTTCTTTCGGGGGGTTTAAGATTTGGAAGATTGAAGAGTATAGAAATGATTTGATATAAGAAAGATAAATGTGATATAAGAATTGAGTATACTATAGTGTTTTTGCAAATACTTGCAAAACCAAGAATGTGAAATAACGTGTTGGGTGACTTTGGAAAACTCATTTTCTTGGTCTTTCTAGTTTCTACCCATTTTTCTATTCAAAATATCAGACTAAATTTTAAATTTTAAGGTTTCTATAATAATATTGTGAGTTTTTGTTTCTTCAATTTAATCTCTCAGTTAAATAATTTAATTTCAATTTACTTACTTATTTTTTTTATAATTTTCTAATTATACCATTTTCATGAGTGAATGTTAGAATCAATTGGGTGAATGTTAAATTTAGTTGATGATGATAAATTAACAAGTTAGTAAAAATTTATGGAAGAATGTTTTGTGGCATTCCCCCTCTTATCCCACGTTGGAAATGGAAGAAATGGTCTTGAGGTTCGATGTCTAACCATTTAGGAACTGTTTGGTGGGAGGTTTTGTTTTTAAAAAAATCTCAAAACTTACTCATCCCTAAGCTAAGTAGAGCCAGATTATGAGATTTGATCTCATCTCTTTTTAATTAAATCTAGTCTCTTTGGACCAATGAACAACTCATGATGTGTTTACGTTATCTTTCTATGTATTAATTAAATTTTTACTCTTTTGGGAAATGCTCGTCGATGATATAAAATAGGTATCATGATATTAAATATTTGTCAACACGTCGATATTTTTATATATCGATTGATCTGATATCGACATAAGAGGTAAATCGATATTAATTCTGATCCTAATGAGATAAATAAACCACTTGAGGATTTCTTTACCTAAGGAGGAGGACCATATTTTCTATACGAAATATTTGGAAAATACTTAATAGATTACCAACTGAATATCTATATTATTGTCTGACAATTAAAGAAGGAAAATGTAAAAATAAAGAATCTTTTAAAAAAAATAATAAGATATTTTTAAATAGTAATCAAGATAGAAATAGGTCTCATATAATTACACTACCTATATTTTTTTTCGGTTTCTTAAATCTATCCAATTTATTAGTATGGTTTTCTTCAATATTTCGTACCCAAGTAAAATCAAGGACCGATAAAATTAGAAGTTTAAGGATGATCTATTACCTCCAAATTATGAAATTGCATTAATGGAAGAGATGATTAGGAGAAGTGATTGATGGACATACATGTGTCTTATTGAGAGAAGAAAAGCAAACAGAGTAATTAATTAAGACCTTCCGCAAAGAGAGAAGCAAAGACGTCGACTTCATGATTTGGAAGAATGAGAGCAACCTCAAACGCCACCAACTCCGGCGTCTGTCAACGAAATGTTGTTCTCTCCCAACGTAACGAGCTCAGTTTGATGGGGTTTCCCCACCCGAAATCCGTTTCGTAAAGCTTGTACTTTGGAGAAGCTGCGACTGAAAAAACTTCCACTTTTGATAAAAATTCGTGAGCCCGTTGCCGTTGGTGCTCTAGGTCATCATCATCAGGTCGTTTACATGGCATCAATTCACGACTACTTCTTGTCAAATCCAAAATCAGATGGCTAATTTTCTTGGCCATATTTGCAAAGTCTGTTGCTTCCATCATCTTCCCTCCCGGGTGGATGATGCAGTTACCAAAATAGTTGCTCGAAACTGGAGGATCCAATAGCCCCCTCACATCTGCAGCCAATGTAATGTACATGTGTTCTTTACACTCCTCTTTCTTTGCTTTGATCGTACACGTCAGCACATACGCATAACCAACCACAAACGTCGACAAATGCAATTCCTGTTCTTCTTCATCTACTTCCTCCAATACCCTTTTCTTCAGTTTTTGTATGTGTGTTGGGGTTAGCTCGAACGAGGCTCGGACCCAGTCGGATGGAGGCGTAGAGATTGAGTCGTTGTAGCTCAAGCTTCTGTCTTTGGGCACGAAATCAAATGGGTTTTGGAGGATATTGGGACCTCTTTCGAATGCAGGGGTCAGTTCTTGTGGCAAACCACAAAAAGGACTATCCGTTTTGAGCAGTTTGCAAATGTGAGCCCATGACTTGATGAATAAGCTGAAACTTGGGCCATCAAAAAGTACGTGGTGGAAAGCAAGACCAATGGAGAACCCATGTTGGTTTGTGTTAGAGCTCATTAGGGTTGTATTTTTGTATATCTTTTTTGTTATAACTAAATGTAATCTTTGTTTGTTAGTATTGTTATTTAATCCTGCTATCGTGCCTTTTGTATTTAGCAGTACTACTATATAGATACTGTAATCTATACTATATTAAAAAGGGGCAATCCTAGAAAAACATTTTTAGACTAATAATGTTTGGGGGAAAGAATACCCTGGACACGTGGAGGACAGCCATTGGTGCTCCAAGGTGACCCATGAGTCATGCCCCAGCTCGGACCGCCGAGAT